AACTCAGTTGTTAACACTAAATTACCTGCTATGTATGGAAATACTTGTAGAACTTTATTAATTAAAACTCTGTTTGAGGAGAAATAAGTTTGTTCTTAAACATAGAACAATGGTGATCAAAGAAGAGCTATTTGCATGTATTCACGTTTGCTTACATGTCATCAGCACAAATGGATCAAACTTATCAATAACGATTTTCCGTTTATCCCTTTTCTACAAAATTCTCGTCACTCTAATGACTTTTTCCATGAAGCTATAAGGAGACAAAAGATTCTCCTACCTATACTTATAGTTAGCACTAATAAAGTAAATGTGTTTAAAATTAGAGCCCTGCCTGTGTTTGGTTGATTTAATGAGTGCATAATTGTTATTTTTTTCATATTAATCAGATTCAAGTACAGCTCCACGTGATTCAACACAAGAAGTCAGTGCAGCAACAAGTATGGCTTTAGAAGGTACATGTATATACCATATGCCTATGGGTAATTTATGAATTTCAACTAATTTTGGAATTGGGAAATGTGAAGGGATGGGCAGGGAGATTAATGTAGTTTAATAAGGAGCAAGAAATTATGGAAAAGAAGGGCTACAGAGTTGATAAGGTAAATTGGACACTGTGTAGGGTTTTAAAACTGATGCTTCATGTTGCCCACCAGTGTTGCAAGCTATATGATAATCAGGCATAGAACTTGATATTAAGTGTTAATTGTGTGAAATAGGGGGGTTGGCTTGAAGGTTACCGTAATTTCCGGTCGTTTACCCGCACGGCCGATTACCCGCACCGGCCGATTATTGCATACGGCGAAAAAAAAAGTCAACAGATTACCCGCACTGGTGGATAACCCGCACGTTGTTATTCAACTTTTTGGTGGCGAAAACGTGACATTAAGGTGATACATTTCAGTCTTTTAAAAGTTGTCTGATCCAACTTTCGAAAACTTGAAAGCGTCTTTGTCGAGTTTAAAGGTCAAAGAAATTCAGACGCGTGCACAATTCTGTGTCAATATTAGCATGTACTTTATTGATAAGATTATACAGTAAAAACACTAGCGGCCCATGCCCAAATCTCAACGTTTCATACTTGACAGAATGCGAATTTGTGGCCTCATTTTGTGCGAGCGATCGTTCAGCGCCATGTTGATTTGTTGAAAAAAAGCTGGGTGAGTATTAAAACTTGAATTATAAAGTACTGTCGGCGATTTCTGAAAAAATCGATATCTCCGGTTCTATTGGGCCTAACAAGTCCCTTAAAACGGAAAAATTCTCTTTAGCTCAAGCTAGTGTTAAATGGAAATTTGTTACTGATGCGCCGGATATCTTTGGATAATTTTTGTCACCATCAAGGTTTTGTTTTCACGCGTGCCGATAATAATTTGTTTGTCGCGCAACTAATTATGTGTGAAATAAACTTGAGTTGGCATCATGTTTTCGTGCCGTTTTGCGGCACTATTAGCACAATAAAATTTACCTGAGAGGTGGAAACGCATGTTGGTGATATTTTTTTTCAATTCAACTACCACTGGATTTTAAAATTGTCACATAACCCGCACCTCCCTATTACCCGCAGTGGTGCGCGTTTAATGCAAAATCAACAGATTACCCGCGGGTAAACGACCGGAAATTACGGTAGTATTTATGAGGAAACATAATGGAGTGTAATTGCATAAATCCAGCAACATCTACTTAGAGTGAGCACAGACATGGAGGATAGTGTGGGGAAGCAAACAGAAAAGACCTGCATGGCGAAAATGAAATATTTGGCAACTAAACTGTTTTGAAACTTACAAAATAGTTATTGTACCTCATAACTACCAATTCTCTTCAGCTGATTTTAATTACTAATTTTGACCTGGTTGCTAGCCTGAAAATACTTAAGTTGCTTAACATTTCCTCTTCATCTTGACACTTGTGCAAAACTAATTAAAAGGGGGAAGTCCCTACTTCAAGTTTTTTTGGCAGGTTCAAGTTAGAATTTTCTGCTAGTGACTAGTTTTTACAAGAGGTAAATAATTTAGTTAACGACTGGCAAATCTGGGAAAGATCACCAATGGAGGGTTTTCCTAAATCTTAAGAGGGAAAAAAAAAGAGGAAAACAAAAAAAGAAGGGACAGCAAGAGGAAAGGGAGAGGAAAAAACCATAGGTAGAATAACAAAGGAAGAAGGGGGAGGAAAAAAGGAGATTGGGGGAGGAGCAAATGGAAAAGGAGGAGGAAGATGACTAGGAAGATGTTTTTTCTCTGCTTTACTTTGATGGAAGCTAGTGGCAGTTCTCCTTGTAACATTGCACATTAGGCAAAGGCTCTTTTTTTCCATCTTGATTTTGATCCACCTAACATTAAGCTGTGCCTCCCTAGAAGTCTTAAACTATTAGTATTTATTAGTCATCCAACTGGTTTCTTTGGTGAAATGGTAAACAACCCTGTTCTTGGCAAACGCCCTGCCTTTCTGTACTGCCAGGCTGGGGTGGGGAATACAGAAGTGTTAAGTCTTTCCAGTGAAATACAAGTTAGTACCCTTTAATTTGGAGGTGTTCAAGGTAAACGGTTCACTTTCGCTATAGAATGGTTGGGAAGAAAAGGTCTACAAGGCTTAGGTTTTTATGCCTGATCAATGTGTAGAAAGTCACAGTTACTGATTTTGCCTTTTACAAAAAACTGAGCTAATTCAATAAATGCAGTATCTAATACTATTCAATTTTGTGAAGAAAAGACCTTTGTGTAATTACTGATTGGA